GAACAAGCTAAGCTTACAAAGGCGAGACTGACATTCAAGTCGTCGTTTTTCCAACATTGATCTAAACATGGTATATTTTATTTTACGCATCTTCTGTAATGAACTTGCAGTTTGCAACGTGCTAAACGTATTTCTTCTTTTAACGCAACCAATATACACCAACGGCACGAAGAATCAGACTCATACTTTCAATTCGCTAAATTTCTGCGTATTTCTTCTCATTTCCAGCCAGTTTGGTCAATCAGTTTCTTGGCACCAGTTTTAACGTAAAAACTATTTTAAAATATAATATGCCCACATGCAACAAAGCAGAGAGTAAAGATCAGGAGTTTTTTTTAAGGAAGATGTACTTCCCATGATGTTGGATGGAAAGTTCTGCTTTTAGCGTTACATTTCTAAAGAAGTGTTTACTTTTTATGACTATATATTGACATTTTCCTAATACTCAAAATAAAAGAACTGTTTCTCTAAAAGTCAACAAATGTCTCATTAAAGAGAAATTGTTAACATCATGTGAGTCATTGCCATTCTTTAATAAAAAAATAAATTACATTGCTTAAGTTTCTATTCCACAAGTTACATTTTAATTCCTGGGTTTCAAAATGCCGCCTGCGTGGTGAAAATCTCTTCGCATATAAGTTAGTTTCGGTACCATAAAAGTGAACGTGCGATTAAAACCTTGGTAACCTTCGTTTTGAAATATTTTTGTTAAGAACATTTACATTTTTTTATTAAGCAAGGGAGTCATCATCCATCTCATGACGTGATTGGATCAGAGTTTCATTAATTTTGTTCTGCATGATAGCTCGTAGCCCAAACGCTTGTGAATTCAATGTGATTTATTTGGAGTCCACGAGACAAGTTCTTTTTTTTTTGACTAACGCACGGATGAACAAAACACTTAATGATTGTTCCCACATAAGAAAAAAAGGAAAAAAAACCAGCAAATTTATTTCTATATTAAATTTCAATAAAAAATCGATAATTTTTACCAAAAGTTGTATGCCTTCTGATCTTGCCAAAAGGATTTCTGGAGCACTACCACAGAACAGCCAATAAGAGATCCATCGCAAGACTTCATTCTTATAAAAGCAAGTGAAAACGGTGGAACAGTGACCGAGGTGGAGTTCGCTAGGAATGCAATTACAGAAGACAATGCTCACGATGTGCAGTTTATGGTAAGAAACAAATATAGTAAAATCTGTGATACTCAAAAGAAATAAAATGAAAGGAATTTGCAATAGAACATCCCACGTAGAGGCCCTTCGTCCAGCGTTTTCCATAAAAAAATGAAATGTTGGTAGAAGTACGGTTTTGTGGAGGGAGGAAAACCAGAGAACCCGGAGAAAAACCCTCGAATCCAGGCGAGAACCAATGACAATCTTGACCCACTTATGAGGCCGGCCCGGTCCAGGATTCGAACCCGGGCCTCTTTGGTGAGAGGCGAGGGCTCTAACCACTGCGCCCCATATACTTGCATTGAACGATGGCCACTGACAGCTAGTGACTGCTTAACTGAGAGGTGTCCCCTTAATTGGTTTTACAGAAAACATGGGAAGAAAAATTTGGATTTTGCTGAGACCGGTGCCGGCGGACGCCTTAAACAGGGTGTCTAGTGACCTTTTCATGAGGTCCGCTCAACTCATAACCTTGTTTACGAAGTTTAATTCAAACCCATTAATTAAGAATAAAAATGAGGAAAGAAAACTGAGATGATGGAATATCTGGCAACATCACTGAGCGAGTGAAATCAGAACGAGTCAGGCTTTTCTAGATTTGGCTGGTTGAATATCTGTTATCTCAACTTTTGAGAACGAGCCAGGCAAATGACGGCGGAAGAAGGAAAGAAGAGAAGCCGGACGACCTAAAGGGAGGGCGTTGATTCCGCGACACATTCAGCGCAGTTAAAAGTTGTGTCCCGCAATTTTGATTCAAGTTATGATCTATACAAAACACCAAACTGGTACTTTTAATTTGCAGAATGATACTGAAGTTACGGTTGTGTGGGCTTCTCATTTCTCCAAAGATGAAAATAATGACCTCACAAAACACATTGCGAGGGGAATCTTTCCTGGCAAACATAATCTGATCCAGGAGGCTATATCAGCCATGCTACAGCCAAACACGACAATCATGGTACCGGTTCAGACAATGGATGCTGGATGGTCAACACTTGCACCTCCAAGATTCGCTGAAAGGCCTTTGTCGGGTACAGCCAGCGTGCTTTTCCCATCTGTTATATTTTGTACTGCTCTGTCTTTAAGCACTTACCACCTCTCCTTGTAACACATCGTTGTTTTGATTGTCAGTGGACGAGCATGAAAGTTACATCTCCAGCCTCCAAATTCAAGCGGACTTGCCGTATAAATATCTCTTTTGCGAGTTGCCAGAGATAGACAAATTTAATTGTATAAATTTTAGATAATTTTATTGCTACTTGGTGCACGTGGGGAAATGCTATTTTTTTTTTTGATCTGACACTAGCATAAGAGTTATTATTATTATCATTATCATTATTATTATTTTGGCTCGACTGTGTATCGCCAAAGTACGAACCATAACTCGACCAGTTAAAATTGATCGCCTGATATGCACCCAAGAGAGCCGAAATGTAGGATTAGGTATAAACATCTGAGATACAACACATTAGAGCTGCTTCAAGATACATACTTTTGATAACTACAGTTATCAATGGTTATTTACCATCATAGAGCACCTGTTGTAAAACAGTGTTGAATAAACTGACCTTAAAAAGCTGAATCGTTATCACCACCTAGTTAAAGGAGCTCAGTCACGTCATTTTGAGTTATTTTGGCCACATACAAAATTACCATAAAATGGTAGGAGACCTGCAAATAACAGTTTAGTAAGATAGGAAAACACCAAAGAGATAATGATAAACCATAAAGGGACAAGGATGGCTAAGGATGGAGAAGATTAACACGGATTACAAACGACGAATTTGAAAAATTGAGGCTAAACTCTTCAATATGCGCAAACCATGACTCATCATCATCATTTCTCTTCGCGCCAGTAGGCGCATAAGGCCGTCACGCTTTCCGACCAACACTCCCTATTCCGTGCCGCCACTTTGGCTATTTCCCAGCTCTTCCACTCCGCCTTGTTTCTTTCCTTCTCCACCGTCCTTCTCCAAGTTGTCTTTGGCCTCCCTCTCGCTCTTCGACCTCGATTGATTATGGCGTATATGCTTTCACAGTACAAAGGTTCTGTTTCCTTGAATTATCAAGCGTTGAGCATTCGTTATCATTTACGAATTTTTTGGAAAGCTGATGTTCATTCCTTGGTAATTCACAATAAATAACCGGGCTTGTCTCTTCACTGCATGGTCCAGGCTTAAAGCCGCTCTCGTTGTGATTTTTATTACTTGGACCGATGGTCCATTTTCAAATTAAGTTGGCTTAGGCGAGGACACCTTATTCCCAATGATGTTGCAGGAACTGTAGAAGTAATAGCAACGTGTTGCTTGTCATTTGAGGATGGTTCTCACAGCAAATTATGTATCTGCGTGAAGATCGTGGAGATATTTGAAGTCCTCGTCGTTCAACACTAAGGGTCAGACAGAACGATGAAGTTTCCATAGACAAAAGATTGTTATAACGCTGTTCGAGAAAAGAGCAGATAATGGCAGGAAGAAAAAAAAAAAAAAAACTTTCCGTCAATTTCCCTGAGTCAATCAAAGTAGTACATGCGCATTATCGAGACACAGGTCCTTTAATTTCCTTTTTGTTTTCTGAATTTCCTGTGTCAATAAATGTTTGTAAACCTCAAGCGAATAAATGCCTTTCTTTCACGGCTTCATAATCAAAAACAACTAAAATCTAGAAGCAAAAACAATCAAGAATAACTAACCAAAACTGGGCATAACATCTCTTTTAACTTTATTAAGTGCCATTTTCAATAGTGTATTTTAGTACAGTCCACATGCTGAAAACCTAAGTTAATTTGTTGTGATCTCAACAGATGGCTGGATTCCATGAAAATATTACATTTACTCATTTATTACAATGAAATAACACTCTATTTTCATTTGTCTAGGTCTTTTGACCGAAAACAACAGCTTCAGGCGCCCGCGCCAGGCTTCAAAAAAAATTTCATTGAAAATCGCATGGCAACTTTATATTTGCACTGTTTATAGAAATCTACTTTTGAATAAGAATATAATTCTTATTTGCAATACAATTTCCTGTCAACAATATTGTCAGAGTATAGACATTCAATATACAATACATTGTTAAATAAAGTTTTATTCCGGCGCGACTGCACAATAACCGGAGCTAATAGGGAAAAACCACGACGGCAACGGCAACGTCACTAAACAAATGGTTTAATGAGGAGAACAATGGTAGTGCACGTGCATTATAATTCCCGGTGCATTTCTTTGCCGTCCTCTGCAAAACAACAACGTGAAATGACCAAATTCTGCGTTGTCTGGAGAACGTGAACCACAACGGCTAATTTTTCAAGTTTATATTTCAAACTTATCGCTGTGTTTTAGTTTTACTTTTGTGATAGTTTTAACAATGATAAACAAAGTAAATGACTTAAGAGTACCGCGAGATTCATAGGTAAAATATAAATTCATTTTTTGATCGACGTTGTCCTCGGCGTCGCCGTCGTGGTTCCTTAAACTCCCTATTAGGGAATTACAAAAAGAAAACACACTCTCATCTTGTAAAATGAAAACAAAAATCTGACCTTGGTTGTTTGAGTTAATCACATTTCAAATTGGAGTTGAGGAGTTTAATTCCCTGTTTTTTCCGCTTAACAATGCATGAATGATTTGCATGTGGTCGAAGTTTAAGGCATCTGGAAACAAACTCTTTTCAAGGGACAATATATGGCTTTTTATCTTACATTAATTTAATGTTTCCAGCGACTTTGGTAAATTACATACATGTTCTTTTTTCTCAAATCTACTACAGACATATATTCGGGTTACACAATCCTTCATTTACAAAGTGCCTTCGCCGCCTCCGGGCTGTTGACAATGTTTCCATTACTTCGCCTTTTTATTGATGTTTTGAGCTAAAATCGCCGCTCGTTCTGCGATCGGTACAAATCCTTCTTCTTTCCTCCATTTTGTCAGCCTTGCCGCAAACCAGTTCTGAAAAGTACAATAACAATTGGAAAGGAAATTTTAATAAACGACGGCAGGGAATTCGAAATAATGAAAAAACTTTCCGCCTAACGCTTCCTTAGACCTTACGCTCTGTAATTGAAAGATATTAAATATTCAGCTTGATAAATGCGACAAAGGTTATTTTTTTTTTNGCGACTTTGGTAAATTACATACATGTCCTTTTTTCTCAAATCTACTACAGACATATATTCGGGTTACACAATCCTTCATTTACAAAGTGCCTTCGCCGCCTCCGGGCTGTTGACAATGTTCCCATTACTTCGCCTTTTTGTTGATGTTTTGAGCTAAAATCGCCGCTCGTTCTGCGATCGGTACAAATCCCTCTTCTTTCCTCCATTTTGTCAGCCTTGCCGCAAACCAGTTCTGAAAAGTGCAATAACAATTGGAAATGAAAATTTAATAAACGACGGCAGGGAATTCGAAATAATGAAAAAACTTTCCGCCCAACGTTTCATTGGACCTTACGCTCTGGAATTGAAAGAGATTAAATATTCAGCTTGATAAATGAGACAAAAGTTATTCTCTTTTTTGGTTAAAGAATTGGAAATCATTGCGAAATATAGGTATTTTCAACATTAAGTATTTCACAAAATGTGTACGATTGTTCAAATTTCACTTTCATACTGAACATCTTTATTACTTGTAAGCTTAAATATATCGCTGAATTATTGCCAAACATAATATCTTAGACGGCAGTTTGTTTACAAAAAGGTACTAAAACACTGTAAAACAAGTCGAAGCTAAACCACTTCAAGGTATATTCCGATAAATGAAACATATTTCAGAATAAAGATTTGAAATATTATTCTCGCCTCTTTCGCAGTTTTTAAATAAGTATGATATCTGGTATTGTACAAAAAGTAAACATGTCTCTAGTCTAATTAATTACAGGAAAATTTAGTTGAATATTACAAAACAATCCGATTTTAAAATTCAAACGCAATGCTCTTGGCTTCGAGAGCGCAATTTTTTCCATACGTAATTTAACTGTCGTATTAAAAGTATTGCTGGATTCTTTTTTATCAGAATGTGAAAGACAAAACAGGAAAATGTTTGAAGTTACCTCTATCTCTTCCTGTGTTACTCCGATGTCTGCCGCCAGAAAAGACATACTAAGTGAATCGGGATGTCTGCAAGATTTGAAAGCATCCTCAAGAGCCATGGATTTTTCTTTATCTTCGCCAAGCTTCTTAAGAATATCGGCCATCGTGCGTTTTCTGTAGTCGCGAAAAGCGTCGAATACTTGGAAATCCAAAATTCGTGACCCAAAGCTTGGATTCTTGTCTCCTCTGGATTTCGCGGTCAGCTGGACTCAAGCGACATAGCTTTGGAATTGTTGTG